CCCCGCGCTAAATGCTTTCAAGCTATCAATTCCGGTTCAGTGATTCTGCACTTGCTTTATTACTATAGTACTATACTGCCTTCAAATTTTGTGAACGACTGAGTGTTTAAGGTTAGCGATTTGGCGTAGTATCTGGCTGTATGGCAAATGAAAAAATACAATTACTTTACATATGCAAAGAAAAAAATGTGTGTTTTAATATTCATGGTTTTGTAGAAAAAAAATCAGGGTCCCTTTATAACATATTCTACAGGCCCCGCACTCGCTTAATCCGGCGCTGCCGGGCAGCCGTCGTCAGTGCGACATCTCGCCTCTGCTCCTCCTCGGCTGTCGAGGAGCAGCGGTGAGGCATCATCCTCCTGATCCCCCTCCCTCCCCCACGAGTGGCTTTGCGAGTTCGTTAAATTCGGGCACGCGGTCGCGAACCGCACCGAAGTTTCGGTTTTGTTTTCTCTCTCTCTCTCTTACCGATCTCGTGACGAAATTTAATTCGCGAGATAGACACACAAAACAAAAACAACTCCAGCGGTGGTAGAACGACAGAGATCGTGACGCCGCTGAGACGGAATCGATCTCCCACGCCGGAGGGGGTCATCGCGTGGGGAAGGTGTCAACATCGCCATGATTCGCAGTGTCACAACATTTGGCTCTGCACGCCTTGACAGCAGAGGTTGTCTAACCACTCCTACTACTCCTACTACTACTACGCATCAGCAGCAGCACTGGCTGCTGTCTTACCCTCCTTCCTTACCCACGTGCATTTATTTGGCGTTATTTTAGAATTTAGATAATGGTATATTCACCCGGATGAGAAGACGTCACGGGGAAATTATGTTTAAACATTTATTACGTTTGTTTAGCCGCAATAGCCTCACTGAGTCTCATGAATTTTGCAGTAGGTAATTTTGCTTGATGCACGACCCGGATAAGAAGAAGATTCGGGGAAGTTACGTTTACATTGTGCTTACGTTTGTTTAGCCACGATAGCCTCACTGACTTTTGCAGCAGGTTGCAATGATTTTGCAAATAGCACGAGACGTGAAGTATTAAGATCGATTTTTTGGAAGCAGAAAGACCGGAGCAAGTCATCGCATTGTACGTCATCGTAACGTTTAGAGAAGGTGCAGCAAGACGACACTGAAGCAAGGTGGGTACCAGATGATACGCACCATCACGTGTGCAAGGCATAGCCGGTCAGCATGTTCGATGCGTTTAATACAATCCCAGAATAAACCACGCAATGCAGTACAGTACACACCTTTAGAGACGAAATGCGGTTTTAAAATCCTCATTTAAAAAAAAATCAGCTCGAGGGAAGGCCGTGGTATGGGCGGGGTGAATATTCAACATCGGCCAGCCCCCCTGTCCCGTCAGCTTTGATCCCCCCCCCACTCACCTGGTCTTTACCTGTCACCGAACACAATTCACTCAACGCTCACCTGGTCTTTACCTGTCCCGAACACAATTCACTCACCGCTCACCTCGTCTTCACCTGTCCCGAACACAATTCACTCAACACTCACCTGGTCTTTACCTATCACTGAACACAATTCACTCAGCGCTCACCTGGTCGTCACCTGTCACTGAACACAATTCACTCGAAGCTAACCCGACCCACATTACTCGCCGAACTAACACCTGGCACCGCTCACAAAACACGCTCATCGCTCACCCATTATCCTTTTAGCAAAGCAATAAATAAGACAAGACTGTACACCCTCCTTCCCAAATGTGTCCCTTCACATATACAAATAAAGGTATTTTATTCACATCCCATGTGCCACACGTTCGCCTTGGGGTGGATTTTTGTTTCAGCAAATTTGGGCTTAATAAAGGCAACCTCGGGACCGGTTTCAGCATTCAGGATCTCATCAGCAGTCAGGCTTGCTGGATCCAATGAACTGTCAGATGTTGAACGGCAAAGCATCCTCTTCTGTAATAAAAAGTGGTCCTAGTTTGACATAAAACTCTACGCTACATAACGCGCAATAGTCACAAGCGTCGTTACTGAGAATACGAGTAACACAATAAATAAATAGACACACACTTCGACTCTTTACAATACTTGTTTCCACAAAAAGTAAAACGATTTAACAGTCCTGTAAAACAAAACAAAAAACTTTAAAGGGAAACTGCGGAGTGAATTGGTCATTGACGCCATCTGCCGTTCGATTTCTCGTACTACACTCCACTGACGACACTCACCAAACCACAGGAGAGTGATTTACTATCATAAAGTAAAACATAAACATATATCGTGGAGTGGAGTGAGACGAGAGGTAGGTGAGTGCGTGGAGTAGCGTCAGATGAGAGAAGAGAGGTAGGAGAGTGGGTGGGAGATGGTTGGGTGAGAGGTAGGAGAGTGCGTCGGGGGAGTAGGGTGAGATGAGAGGGGAGAGGCAGGGGAGTGCGTGGGGGGGAGATGGTGAGATGAGAGGGGTAGAGGTAGGAGAGTGCGTGGAGGGGAGTAGGGTGAGATAAGAGGAGAGAGGTAGGAGAGTGCGTGGAGGGGAGTAGCGTAAGATGAGAGGGGAGAGGTAGGAGAGTGGGTGGGAGATAGTAGGGTGAAAGGGGAGAGAGAGGTAGGAGAGTGCGTGGGGGGGAGTAGGGTGAAATGAGAGGGGAGAGGTAGGAGAGTGCGTGGAGGGGAGTGGGGTGAGATGAGAGGGGAGAGGTAGGAGAGTGCGTGGGGGGGATTATGGTGAGGTGAGAGGGGAGAGGTAGGATAGTGCGTGGAGGGGAGTGGGGTGAGATGAGAGGGGAAAGGTAGGAGAGTGCGTGGGGGGGATTAGGGTGAGGTGAGAGGGGAGAGGTAGGAGAGTGCATGGGGGGGAGAAGGGTGAGATGAGAGGGGAGAGGTAGGAGAGTGCGTGGGGGGGATTATGGTGAGGTGAGAGGGGAGAGGTAGGAGAGTGCGTGGGGGGGAGAAGGGTGAGATGAGAGGGGAGAGGTAGGAGAGTGCGTGGGGGGGATTAGGGTGAGGTGAGAGGGGAGAGGTAGTCCTCGAGTCAGCGGAGGTCATCAGCATCGAGGCCATGGTCCTCAAGATACAGCTTCGTTGGGCAGGGCACATCGCCAGGATGGAGAACCACCGCTTACCTAAGCTTGTGCTGTATGGGGAACTGTCCTCTGGCCATCGCGACATAGGGGGACCACGAAAGCGATACAAAGAAGACTCCCTGAAGAAGTCCCTCACTGCTTGCTGCATCGATCACCGTCAGTGGGCAACACAAGCAGCTGATCGCAACTCCTGGCGGCACACAGTCCACCAGGCCAACTCCTTCTTCGAAGATACCCGCAGGGCCCGTTTGGAGGACTAAAGGAGAAGGAGGAAGAACTATGATCCCTCAGCACCCATCCCAGATGAGACCTATACTTGCAGCTGTTGTGGCAGGACCTGCTTGTCCCGCATAGGCCTCTTCAGCCACCAGCGTGCCTGCAGAAGACCTGGGTGTCCTTCCTAGATCTTCGTTCGCGAAGTCAAGCCATGATGGATGATGAAGGCCGGAACGGTACACGAGGAGGTGGGTGGACAGCACCACGCCCGACCGCCTTTGTCTCCCTAGTGGCGATGTTTACACACCGCACCAGGTACTCATTTGAGGCTGAGTTGACTTAGGGGAGGCCCAGTAACGGTTCAGGTAATCGTCACTGGTGTTGGCCGTGAGGGGGGATCGAACCCGGGTCGCCAGGTTCATAGCGCAGCGCGCTAACCGCTACACGCACTCACACACTTACTCACACTCTCACTCACACACGCACTCACACACTTACTCACACACACGCGCACTCACGCACTCACACACTCACACGCACACTCATGCACTCACTCACACACTCACGCACTCACTCACACACTCACTCACACACACGCACGCACTCACTCACACACTCACTCACACACACGCACGCTCACACACTCACGCACTCACTTACTCACATGCACACACGCTCACGCACACACTCACTCACACACTCACTCACTCACACACACACACTCACGCACTCACTCACACACTCACACACACGCACGCACTCACTCACACACTCACTCACACACACGCACGCTCACACACTCACGCACTCACTTACTCACATGCACACACGCTCACGCACACACTCACTCACACACTCACACACTCACTCACTCACACACTCACACACACACTCACACACTCACTCACACACTCACACACGCACACTCACGCACTCACTCACACACTCAGGCACTCACTCACACACTCACTTACTCACACACACGCACGCTCACACACTCACTTACTCACACGCACACTCACTCACACACTCACTTACTCACTCACACACTCACTCACACAATCACTCACACTCACTCACTCCACACACTCACTCACGCACTCACTCCACTCACACACTCACTCACTCCACACACTCACACACTCACGCACTCACTCACACACTCACGCACTCACTCACACACTCACTCACTCACACACTTACTCACACACACTCACTCACACTCACTTACACACTCACTCCACTCACTCACACACTCACACATTCACTTACTCCACTCACACACTCACACACTCACTCACTCCACACACACACTCACACACACTCACACACTCACTCATTCACTCCACTCACACACTCACTCACTCGCACACTCACACACTCACTCATTCACTCCACTCACACACTCACTCACTCGCACACTCACACACTCACTCATTCACTCCACTCACACACTCACTCACTCGCACACTCACACACTCACTCATTCACTCCACTCACACACTCACTCACTCGCACACTCACACACTCACTCACTCACACACTCACTCATTCACTCCACTCACTCACCTACTCACGGTCCCACGTCTCATCTCATCCGAACTCTCCCGACTATTTTAGCGTTTAGTTTCTAACCAGGAAAGGCCGACCGAGCTGTAACAGCTCTCCTCCAGAGGCGAGCTGGGCACACAAACGATGAGCTCAACGCCGCGGGCTTATTGATGCCCGTGTCGATGAATGAATGAAGAATGAATGAATAATGAATGAAATCTCCACGTGCCCTCTCGCCTTGCCCTGCAGGGTGCGCGCTCGAGCAGGAAGTCGCTGCTGTCCGAGTCGGACGTTTTCTGTGCGTCCGGTGACGACGGTGACGGTGGGTGCGACTGCTTCCGTGGGCTTAGCTACTACTGCTGCTACTACTACTGCTGCTTCTTCTTCTGCTGCTACTGAGACGCGCTGTGTGAGAGCCACTTTAATGTAAACCTCGCCACGAGGGAGACAAAGGCGGCCAGGCGTGGTGCTGGTCACCTCCCCCCTCCAGTACTTGCCCCAAGCAGTGTGTGTCAAGCGGGAAGAGCTCGGGTGAAGTGAAAGATGTCTCGATCTGCGGCTGTGCTGTGTCTACTGCTGCTGGTGGTGGCGGTGGTGGTGGTGACCGTCGCCCACGCGGCCAGGCACGATGACCGGGACGAGCAGGAGAGACCCAACGTGTTCAGACAGGCGGCGCAGGGAGTCTGGGACGGCGCTGAGATGGTGCTGGGAAGAGACACCGTGAGGTCCATCGTCAAGGTGAGTGATGGATGAGTCGCGGTGTCGGAACTTGTGGGGGAGGGAGGGAGGGGGGGTGAGAGATGAAGGTGGCTGGGAGTGCTTCTGCTCAGATCCAAACACACGTGGCGGGGCTCTTTGATAGGTGCTCGCGAACAACGAGCCTTGCCTTGTGTGTGTGTGAGATCTTTAGATGTTTTCTTGAGTCATTGGGAGTTTTTGTTGTGTTTTGCGGAGTGGTTAGCGCTCCACCAGACGACCAACATTAGCGGGTTATTTTCTAAATCGGTCCCCGTTCTGGGCTTCCCCCTTAAGCCTTACATGTTCGTGTCTGTTGGGGGTGCGACATCACAACTGGGACGGCAAAGACGGCTGGGAATGGGTCTGGCCACACACCCACGTGCCGGCCTTAATAGGTGCTCGCTAACGGGCATTGCCTTCATCCAGCGGTGGATATATCGTGCCTGATGATGAGGATAAGAAGCATACGGGCGACCCTACAGGCTATGCGTACAACGAATTGCAGATGATAATAGTTTTTTTAGCCTTCTATCTGGCAACAAAACTGACACCTTTTTTACAAGGAGTCATGTTTGCATAGACCACAATACCTGCAGCCATAATGCAAACAATATTATCAGAGTTATGTTTTTTGTTTGCATTATGGCTGCAGGTATTGTGGTCTATGCAAACATGACTCCTTGTAAAAAAGGTGTCAGTTTTGTTGCCAGATAGAAGGGTAAAAAACCAATTATCATATTTTTTACTGGCAAATGAGGTTCCAATGGTGTGAATTGCAGATGGTTTTAGTTCACCAAAGTTCAGTGACAACGAATTCTCACGGCGTTCGACAAAGTTCTGTCGCGAAATTGTAACGTATAAAGTTGTCAGATGGGGAGACGAGGCCACCTGCTAGTGCTGCCTTATCCTGTGATGCTGGGCCAGCATCACAAAAAATCCCTTGGCCTCGTCTCCCGACAGCTGACGAGATTGGGTGCATTGATCACGGTAACAATGATGGCTAATTATGGCGACTTTTTCCATAACGTGTCATCTGAAACGCATTTGAAAGAGCGCCCCCAGCGGCAGCTGTCTCTGTTGGGGTACAAGGATGACTCCACATCTGGCCTGAAAACGGGTATTAGTCCGCCAGTAACGGAGCAACGATCGTTATGTCTAATCGATGATTGCTAGCTATACTATAATCCCAGTGGCGGTCGCGAGGCCTCGTGAAGGACGCTGCTACTGGACAGTTGGAGGAAGTCGCCCTCCAACATCGACAGAGGGCGGAGGAGCGACGCTCACAACGAGCGGAGCGCCGGGCGGATAAAACGCAGCAAGTTGGCACAGTAGGGGGCACAGGTGGAGCATCGGGCAGTCGTCTCGGTCAGTCGACCCTTGTGGCACCTGGGTCTGCACCATGATCTCCTGCCAGCGGGCGTTCGACACTTCACGTGGCCTCAACGTGCACCTAGCCTGGCACAAGCGCCGTGGTGACGTCACCGCCACTTACTGGCGAATGGCGCTTGTTGTTACGCTGGTCGAGCGAGGAGGCTGATTAAGCAACCTTCATGGACATATTCTTGGTTCTTTCGGTAAAGTCACGTAGAAGGGAAATAATATAAATATAAAAAAAATTCTCACGACATTTCTTGCTGTGGATTTCACACCTGATGGTGATTGCTCGTGTTGCAGTCGAAACGTCGTGAGAATTGTTATTGTTTTATATAAAAATTATTTTATTATTTCCCTTCTACGTGACTTTACCGAAAGAACCAAGAATATGAATCCCTACAGTCACGAAAGCTGTAAATCTTCATGGACATGTTCAGCAGATCTCTGCTGCGTTGTGCAAAAAAATAAAAAAACCCCATCAAAATTAACATGCCCTCCTCACGTGCTGATGTGGAGAGGTAGGAATGAGAGTGTGTGGAGGGGAGGAGAAGGCACGCCCTGACGCCTGCCGGTTTCTCCCTCCACATTTAAAATCAACGTGCGTTTAGAGCAGAGGTCGCAACCGGGTACCCGATACCTGGCTACCCGTACCCGGCCGGGTACGGGTATGGGTACCCGTTTGCGACCCTTGTGCGGCCGGGTACGGGTACGGGTAGACCGTGAGTCACTGGTGAGTAACCGTTTGTCACTCATTTCCCAACGTCTTGTCTCTTCTCACAATTCAAGTTCCTAGAATCAACCCACCCGCGCCTGCAACATGGCTTCATCCCAGAGGTCGCAATCAGATACCTGATACCCGTACCCTACCCGTACCCAGTCGGGTACCCGTACCCAGTCGGGTACGGGTAGGGTACGGGTACGGCCGGGTACGGGTACCTGTTTGCGACCCTGGTGCGGCTGGGTACGGGTACGGGTAAGGAATCAAAACCTGTTTGCGACCTCTGGTTTCGAGTATTTTGCCGCTATACATTTCCACACGATAAGCCACTGTGTCGACCTATCATTTGTGGCCAGGTCGCTTCTGACAATGAGCTATACAGCTCAGTGGGCCTTACCTGGTAAAATGACATTTAAAAGTTCAATAGTTTTAATCGTGTTTTGAGAGTGAGATGAGAGCGAAGCGGTTACTAGTTGACTGTGCCGGTTGGTGGCGGGTTTTCACGCCACATTTATATTTTGCGACGACGTTCGCGTAAACTGTTCATGCTACCACGCACCCGCGTCTCGAGTGATTAGTTTGATCCGCGGTCCACCGGGGGTGACCACAAGAGGTGGCGCCGTTCCTTTGGGAGAGTCGCGGTACACTTGGGACGTCGGCCGCCAAACTTGAAGTGAGCGCAGTTTGCTGGAATTTTTACGCATCAAGAAGTGGGGGGTGGGACGCGTCCCAAAAAGTGGCAGCCGTCTCCCTCGAACTGAACCGTCGATCGCTCGGGGACCGGTCGCAGATGCAATGGTGGCCTTTATTAACGATGTCAACATAGTAATAGGTTTTTACCCTTTCAACTGGTACAGTGAGCATATCATTATCATCATCATCAGAGTTGTTTCTTTTTGTTTGCATTTTGACTGCTTGTGTTGTGGTTATTGCAAACATGACGCCTTGTATAAAGGTGCCAGTTTTTGTACCAGTTGAAAGGGTAAAAACCTATTACTATATTTTGCCACTGGTAAAGGAGATGTCTCATAGTGATGTGAACATAGGCCACGTGATTTTGATTCCCCGGCCCTGGCTGACGTCTGAACCAGTGCGCTGGCCTCTCCTTCGCTCAACCCTCACTGACCGGCGTGGTGAAGTATCGCTCGAACAATCCCCCGAGATCCACTCTGGTGTGTGGGCAGGCCTCCACATCCAGCAGTAGATCGATTGGTAAACGGCTCTCAATAATTACTTGATGTTAACGGCGCTTAGCGTTTGCTTTGACGGCGTCATAAAGAACTAACCTCGCCTGCACACTTTGGGCGTGTCGCTCGGAATTAATCTGTGCTTTTCCAAAAGCACGCATTCCAAAAAACACGCGTCAGAACCTTTTCTTAAATCTGGTGGCCCATGGCCACGTTTTACACTTGGAAGGAGCTTTGGTTATTCGTTGGCAATTTAGAGATATTAACTACTTTACTGTGTGCTGCTGACTACTCGCTATGGAACACTGCCGGTGGCTCACCTTGTCTAATTCACAGCTCTCTGTCAGTCCGCTGCTGGATGAAGACTTCCCCCATGACGTTTGGTTCACGGGCCTGGGTCGTTTGATCAAACTGGACCACGCTTGTCGGTGTGGGTTAATGACGTCTGGGGTTTGCGACCTGTTTAGTTTTTGACCCTGATGTTAGCCGTGGCTGGGATATCGAACTTGGAGTCGTGAGCTCTTATAAGTGCAGTGCTCTTAACCGCTTTAGACGCCGCTGTACCCCACGCACCTTAAGTTAAAATATCAGACGGCCGTCACGCACGTGTCAGATGCGAAACGCGAAACACAGTGGGTTTGCGGTCCTTGTTGAGCGACGTGAGAGTTGGGAGGCGGTAGTGATTTGTCATGGGGCTTGTTGGACTGTACTTCACCGTGCTGCTGGTGGTGGTGGTGGTCAGTGAGCGGGTTTCGTGAAATGTGTGCGTAAGCCTTCATCGATTGGCTTATTGATGCGCGCCTCTGAATTGTCGATGGTGAGTTACACATGGGATCGGCCTTTCGATGCACACCTGCGTCAGGACGCTTTATCGGCTCACACTATCATTGCATCTGGCAGCCATGGTCGTTTGTGCTTCTGCGGGACACGAAGCGAGGACCGATATATACTCTGGTTACACAGTTCCGTGTCTCTCGCCGCCTAGGCATCGCCCTCTTTTGCCGCACGCGCGAATGCCCGTGTCTCTTCGTGCGCCAGCTGTGCCTTACAGTGTGCGGACTTGCAGGGCCCGCATTTTGTCGAGCTCGTCGGATTTCACGGCGTTTGTCCGAGTGCCACGCGGACGGATCGGGTTTTGCTCCCTGAGGTCGTGTGCTCTTTTTTTTTCCCTCCCCACCCCACCCACTCCAACCCTTATTCGGACAGAGGCTTGCGAAGCAGACGCCGCTCGGTACAGAGTCGCTTTTGCAAACTTCGCCGATTGCAACCGCTATGCAAAGGACATCATCGCCCGCAGCTTCCTTGCCGCTGTGCGGCGTTGGCGGCGAGGGCCCGCACGCCTCCGCACGCGATTAAATCGGCTCAAGCCGTGAATTGTGTTCAATTATTTCGGGATTAAATTTGTAAATGCGGTGCCGCGGACACGTGCGTCCATTCGTCCATCCGTGTGTTGTTCGGGCAGCACAGTAGAACGTGTTCCGTTCATTGCGAAGGCTTTGTCCTGCCGCTGCATTGGGGCAATAATGCTGCAACAATGCCCCAATGCAGCGGTGGTGCGACGTTCACTACCTCACCTAGTACACGGGAGGTCGTGGGTTCCAGTCGAACCCTGACGCCTGTATATTTTGGGTTTGCACGTGCTCCCCGTGGCCGCGTGGATTTTATCCGGGTCCGCCGGTTTTTCCCTCCTCTTTAAGGATCTACATCACACGTTTAGAGTGTTTGGCTGCTGTACATTTCCACGCGACAAGCCGCTTGGTTGGGCTAATATTTGTGGCCAGGTCGCTTTTGACAAGGAGCCGTATAGTTCAGTGGACCTTACCTGGTAAAATAAAAAATGCTTCTAGTTTAGGGAGGGCCACCCTTGAATTATTGAGTTGTGCAAAAACAGCCTCGAGAAAAAAAAATGTGTCGTGTCACCTCATGCGTGTTCCACACGGTGCACGCACACGTATGTGTGTGTATGTGCGCGTGCGCATCTCAACAGCAGTCGCTGTTCGAGTTAAAAGGACGCGTTCAATAATTAATAACGAGCCTCACGGCTATGCAGGTGACATCAGTTGGGGGGGGGCAGGAGGGGGCATCGCATTCAAATTTGCCCGTGGCCCCTAGGAGTGTTCCAGCGTGGTGCCCCGTATTGTCCCACACGGTGTGTCTTCAAGTGCACCGTGAATAAAAATAACACCCGGCACTGGGCAGTATCGGTGGTGATAGTGCGGGGGGCGGGGGGTGCAGCAGCAGAACCTCACAAATACAAAGGTCCCCCGTGTAGCCTGAACAGACTGTTGTGGCAAGTGCTGTGAGCTATCCCCTATGACGGTGGGCACAGTGGCACACGAGGGGCTGCGTGGCCTGCACCACGCCCAACCTCCTTTGTCTCCCCAGTGGCGATGTTTTTTGTTACACACAGCACCAGGTACTCGTTTGAGGCTGAGTAGACCTAAGGGAAGCGCAGGACCGGTTCGGATAATCGTCGGTGGCCGCGAGCGGGAATCGAACTCTGGCCGCCGGGCTCGTAGGATAACCGCTACGAAGGCAAAGATCCCCCGTATAGCCTTAACGGACAGTAGGGGCAAGTGCTGTTAGCGAGCACCGATGAATGGGGGTGGGTGGCCAGGACCAGCGAGACACCCCCCACACACACATGTCCAGGACACCCGTGCAGTGCTGTGACGCTCATCGCAGCTGTTGTGCGCGTGTCTCGCGCTGTGGCACAGACGGGTTTCCACTGCACACTGGGAGCGTGATGTCAGCCAGGAACGTGAGCCCAAGTGCGGTTCGAGTATCGTGCAGCGTGACGTTACTCCAAACCAAACACAATTGGATCTATAACAATAGGTATAAAATATCTCTAACAATAGGTATAAAATATCCATTACAATAGGTATAAAACATCTCTCTAACAATAGGTATAAAACATCTCTAACAATAGGTATGAAAACATCTCTACAATAGGTATAAAACATCTATAACAATATGTATAAAAACATCTCTAATAATAGGTATAAAAACATCTCTAACAATAGGTATAAAAACATCTCTACAATAGGTATAAAAACATCTATAACAATAGGTATGAAAATTTCTCTAACAATGGGTATCAAAACATCTCAAACAATAGATATGAAAAATCCATAACAATAGGTATAAAAACATATCTAACAATAGGTGTAAAACATCTCTAACAATAGGTATAAAGCATCTCAGACAATAGGTATAAAACATCCATAACAATAGGTATAAAAACATCTCAAACAATAGGTATAAAACATCTCTAACAATAGCTATAAAAACATCTCAAACAATAGGTATAAAAACATCTCAAACAATGATAGCAGAATACATCCTGAACAGCATTCCCTCGTCATTTGTGAGGGATACGTTCCGGAGATGCTCGTGAGTAGCTAATTTCGCGGCAAATGATGGTGGCCTTTTATATGAATTACCTGAAATACATAAATAATCTATTGAACGCATTGAAATTGTCATAACACAAAAAAGATTGCTTATGTTTAACATGAATAAATAAATATTGAAGTATGAATGAACAGTTTATAAATGAACTTAACTTATCGCTTGATCTCACCGCTTGATCTCATCACTTTCTCGCATCACATTCTCGCCCGTCACTTTATTTTCACTCTCTCACCTCGTCACTTTATTTCAGTCTCTCTCGACGCGATAGTCACGATTCGCGGGTAGCCAAAATCGCGGATGAGCGAGTTCGTGAGTAATGACGGAATGCCGTACAACAACAACAGCAACAAAAATGTTCGGCTATGCAACAGCACCGATGTAGGTAAAGGTGTACATTGTAGTAGTACGAGTGAAAGCAAAAACACGGTTTTGTAATTCTCCGCAGGGGAGCGGCGTGGCTCGAAGGCAGCTCGTCACCGCTGTGGACGCCTGTCTGGACTTTCTGGCCCGGGTTGCCCACGACTTCTTGGAAATTCTCGGATATAAAGGTGAACGGGGGGTGGTGGTGGTGGTAGTGGACATACTGTCGGTTGCGCATTGATTCATTGGTTCGTGTTTAATGCACAAAAGCGTGGTCACAGTCGGTGTACGACGATAGGCAGGCGAGCGAGCGTCGCCCCCTCGTGTGCTTGCTGTGCTTTGCATGGATGTTGCATGCACGTTGAACTTCTTTCGCACCGTACGCCGCCATCCGTGCTCATCGGGGGTTGCGGGCCCTCCCAATTTCCTCTCGCGACGCTCATCGTCGGCGTCGGTCCAAACCTCCCAATACACCACCCTCCCAAGTGGACAGTCCCCGAGTAAACGAATGCCAAACAAAACTGACGCGCCGAATAAAACGGCGCGCGGGACATTCTGCCAAAGTCGGTGAAAATCACGCGATCTCCATCGCCCGTCCGTTCATCCGTGCGCGCCTGTCTCTCCCCCTCGCCCGCCCGCCCGTCACCAGACATGGACATCTGGGGGCTGCTGGACGTGAAGACGCTGCTCGCGTCGCCGGGCAGCCTGCTGGCGCTGCTCGTCGCGCTGCTCGTCCTCTACCAGCTCTCCTTCTTCCTGCTGGCGGCGGCCTGCGCCGCGGCGTTCTCCCTGCTGGGGCCCCTGCTCGCCGGCGTCGTCCGCGTGCTGTTGCTCGGCCTGCTGGCCGCCTACCTCTCCGTCAAGTACGAGGCGGCGCCCGAGAAGGCCGTCGCCGTCATGGTGGTGGCCGTGGGGCTCTACCTGTACTCGGGCTCGCTGGGACGCGACGGCTCCCAGGGGCGGCACGTGGACGCGCGCCTGCGCCGCATCGACGAGCGCGTCAGCAGCCTGAGCCGTCGCCTTGATGGCATCGAGCATCGCGGCGGAGGCGACTCCGCCGAATAAGCGGAGCCGTACACGGAGCCGTCGACCGTAGAGCCTCACCCCCCCACCCCCCCCATCCGCCCCATCTGCCCTACCCGATCCCCCACCCCGAGACCGCCCGGCTGAGTGGCAACGGGGGGGGGGTGGGGCAGGCGATCGCGCGCTCGATGTCGTCCGTGAGCCACCCCCCCCGGACAGATATCTTCACTTGTCCGGTGCCACCTGGGGTGGCGTCACCCTCGGGCGGTTTGCAGTTTTCTTCGCGTGGGCAACAATGGTGATTTTGGGCCGGGCAGTGGGGGTGGTAATGGAATGATTAAAACGCTGATTTGCCGAATAAAAATGAATCGGCACCGCTGAAGTTCTTGCTACCCTTGGGGCGGTACCAGATTCTGCCGGGGGCCCATGGACTCCGTTGTCTGTAAAGCCGTGGGTTTATTCGAACTCCAACCCTCGTGATCGACCACCACCACCGAGGGAGAGAGCGAGAGTGAGCGCCTTCCCATGTTTACCGGTCTACTCCGTTGGGAATGCAATCCAAGTTGTTATAAACGCCGCATGCGTCTCACGAGTGCTAAACGATGGCCCCGCCGTGTCTTCATTCAAAAGATGAAGGCAAACATCCCCACACCCCCCCAACACTCCTCCCCGCGCATAGCCTTTAACAGACTTGTGGGGCAAGTGCTGTTAGCGAGCACCGATGAAGGCCGGGCTAGCACCACGCCCGGCCGCCTCTGTGTCCCCCCAGTGATGATGTTAACACACCGCGACAGGTAACGATTTATGGCCGAGTCGACCTAGCCGAGGCTCATGACTGGTTCAAAAATTCCCTGTCACTGTTACTGGTCGCGAGCAAGAATCGATCTTGGGGTCGCGGGATTCGTCGAGCAGCGCGCTGACCACTGCGCCACCGCTCACCAATGGTGCGTGACTCACGCACACAAGATCTAAATCTTAATTTGAATCGGGGCACATTTCACAATCATCAGGCTTGTGCAGCGTGTTACAACCTTACCTGCAGCTGAATGGAGGTGCCTTGGTGAGTGGAGAGAAATTGAGTTTGAGAAACGCTATTTTCTCAAACTCTGGTTTCTTAAACTTCATTGATTTGAGTGAACCAGTTATGCTGTGTTTGGGACTTTCCACGTGCGTGCTGTGTGGTTTGGTTTGTTCATGATCGGGAGATGGTGCGGCGGATCAACAGTTGTTTGAACCCTTTCCCATTCCGAGACGTTTGCAACTTACAGGGTCTGTCCCGTTCACCGATGAATCTCGGAACGCGCAAGCGATCCGCGTTGATTTTATTTAGAGAGGCGTAGCGCCGCGGTTTTTAAAAGACATCGCACTCACCGCAAAGAACTGTAGCGACACGACCGCACACTACGATAGCTGGCGCCAAACTGTGCGACGCGCCCTCTCCGCATGGCGTTGTGGGAGCCTCGGTCCGTCTTCCGACCAGAAGACGAGCCGTAAACACACGTCGTCGGAATGGGAAAGGCTTAATCAGCAAAGGCAGTCTGGAGTGACGTTCTCGTCGACGCTAACATCTCCGTGAACTTTCATCTGGTGTTATGAGTCAGGATAGCGGAAGAAATTTAAAAAAGGAAAAAAATTCTCTCAGGTTTTTCCAACGCATTGTCACGTTTGTAGCGATTAAACGGACGTGATATTTAGAAGTCAAGAGCAGATTTCTTGCACGATTCATGTTACGAAGAGGGTGGACGTCTGCCAAAGCAAAATAATGCTAATATTTGGAATGCGAGTTGGCTGTAGTTATTATAAAAAAAAAACATTTTGAGAGATCGATGTTGCTAAATCACTACTGCCCATAAAGTAACCACCCTCGTATTGTGAAGTATTGGGCGATATAATGATTTTGGTTTTAAATAATAAAAATAATTATTTTGAGAATAACACATAAAAATTAGTTGTTACTCCATGCCGCTTAGATCGTGAGGCTAAAGAGTAGTGCTTTATAACTACCCTGTAAATAAAGGTTTGACAATGGTGGCAGCACTGCATTATTTTCACGATTGAGTATTTAATAAATTATGTACTTTCTGCAGGAGGCGCTTTATTTTAAAATGTAAGATCATGCCAATAACACTAATTTGATTTCTGATCGTAATCTAAACAGACAACAGTCGCTGGATCATCTATTTACACTTCACAATCTGCTGCACAGAACTATGGTAAAGAGACCTGAGACTGATTTCACTAGAAACTCCTTAACGAATCCGCTGTCCCCCCCCCCCCCCCCCCCCCCGATACAAAGTCATATCGCCGCTAGTTTTCAGTAAATATAATGAAAGCCCTTTTTTAACACTGGCCGCTCGAATCGGACGGAATGTTTCGACTTCAACAAACCTGCTGCTTATTCAAACTCTCGTACAGGTTTAAGTCTTCTTGGTTCTTTCGGTAAAGTCACGTAGAAGGGAAATAATCAAGTAATAAAAATCAAACATAATAAAAAACAATTCTCACGACGTTTCGGCCACAACGCAAGCAGCCATCCTGTTCTTCACCCGAGGACGGCTGCTTGCGTTGTGGCCGAAACGTCGTGAGAATTATTTTATTATGTTTTATTTTTCTATTTAATTATTTCCCTTCTACGTGACTTTACCGAAAGAACCAAGAAGATGAATCCCTGCAGTCACGAAAGCTTTAAATCGAGGTTGAAGTATTTTTCTTTTTTCGCCGTTGTGCCGTTGCACGGCTCTCTCCCCGTGTGTTTCCAGGTGTGCGTTGCGGACGGACAAACACATTTGGGGCGATGGCGTGCACGTGTACGTCTCACTTGGGCTCCTTGCACCTATTTTATCGGTTACTTTCATGATTTAACCTTGGTAAAAGATAAAAAAAAAGTTTTCTCTGGATTGTAATGCACGCTGGAACTGTAGGGCTTTTGTAGGTTTCATTATGGTGCGTGGTGTATGTGTGTTTGATAATCCCATTTGTTTAGGGTGAACGTGTCCTTGGCTAATCGTCTACTTCTGCCCTCAAGTGGTATGCGGTCCTACTGCCCTGTAACATCTTTAAGGCAAATTGTAAAATAAATGAACATTTAAGGAGACACCTTTTTTTGGGGTTTTATGCGAAGTAGGCTTTCGCGAGCTGTATCCATAGTAGAGGTTTCTTTGGGTTAGATCGCGTAAACATACAAATGTGTCGTTAAACCCGCCACCACCCGACACAGCCAATTAGTAAGGTTTGTCACGGAAACAAAACATTGATGATGCTAGCTGTAATTACTGGCGAAACTTCGCACTCAGATTGTAAATGTTGTGGATTTACTCTCCAACACGCCGGTGTGCTGAACTAGTAACGAATTGGCACGTTCTGTTTACGTGACAAACCTTACTAGTTGGCTGTGTCGGGCGGTGGCGGGTTTAGCGACACATTTATATTTAAACGATCTAACCTAAAAAACCTATATTATGGATCCTTTTTGCATTTGTTTTGTTACTGATGATTGTGAGTTGTATGATCCACTGGTCCCATATGCATCCAACAAAGACAACACCAACACATCTATATGCGTGTGCCTTTCAGGAGCAAGATCTCACAAAATCCAACCGTAATATCTGTAGCCACCGTAGAACACAACCCAAATACAGATATTAAACCTCGCCTAAATAGAGCACATCTCATGGCCAACGAATTCCATTTTACGAACAGAATATCATCGAACGCATTTAAAATGTAGGGTTAATTCCAGCGAATCTTGGCCACGCGTTGAGGTGTTCTGAAGTCTGGGAGCAGTCGTCGCTTGTTACTTCGGTTTTCCCTGGAAAGCCTCGCTGAGTCTCGTGACACATTTTCGCGTGAATCCTGCCAAGTTTTCCCCAGTGGGGGCGGGAGTGGGGAGGGGTTACGACGAATTGCTGCGTGTTGTTCCACTCAAGTCATTTGCGGATACATCTTTACCCCTTTCCCGTTCCGTTGACATGGCCACATGTTATAACCCGACAAAGCGGATTATCACGTGGACATTTATAGCAGCCGAATACTCTACGACGCATTATTCTAAACGTGAGAAAAAAAAACGGTGGACCCGGAAAAAAATCTACGCGACCACGGGGAGAACACGCAAACTTGTAAATCCATTTGGACGTTTTCAGGATTCTGTCGGGTAAAGATTGTATCCCACCTCCAGTCCTATTCGTTCTGTCGCTATGTTTTGCAAAGTCCCACTTCTAAACTAAACTACTGTTTTTTTATTTTACCAGGTAAGGCCCGCTGAGCTACGTGGCTCTTTTTTCAGAAGCGACCTGGCCACAACTGATAGCTCAACGAAGTGGCTTATCACGTGGAAATTTATAGCAGCCAACTACTAAAAAAAAACCTAGAATATGCAAACTCCAAATATGCAGGGGTCAGGGTCTGGATCGAAGCCACGACCTCCTGCACACCAGGCGAGGGAGAACACATTCCTGCAGAGGGAGCTGGTAGGAACGTTGGGTTGCTCGGTCAATGGCCAGGGTCAACGGCGGCGTGGTGTATTTCGCAAATATGGCCGACTGTGAGGGCGGGCACAAGCCGGCGTGAGGAGGTTAAACGTTGAGTTTTATAAGGGCACCACGGGGTGACCAGCCCCTCCCCACCCAGCCCCACCCCTCCCACCCCCCACCCAGCCCCACCCTCCCCACCCAGCGCCGCCCCACCCTCCCCTCCCCTCCCCACCCAGTCCTTCCCCACCCAGCCCCTCCTCACCCAGCCCCTCCCCACCCTCCCCTCTCCACCCAGCCACACCCCTCCCATTTTTGGATGCACGACGGACGGACGGACACAATAATCCCCTGTAGGCTGGTGTAACCAGGAGGTTCCTACCAGTATAACATCTCCTAGCCACCGTGGAACCCCAGGAGGGGTAACGAGCAAGCGAAAACCATTCAGTAGAACCTGCCAATCAATCTGTGTTGTGCATTATTAATGTGCACACAGTGGGGCAACACTGAACGGTCAGCACAGACGGGTGCATTAACCGTATACAGATGCGCGACTGCGGCCGTCTGGAACGCTCTTCCTTCCGATCTTAGGAAGCCAATGGAGCTCTGCACTTTTAAATCTAGATTGAAAACTCGTTTCTTTAGGACTGCTTTTTGTCTTCAGTGTGTTGTCCTTCACCCCCCCTCCCCCCGGCACCTCCGGTTAGCACGGTTGGCTACGTACGGTGCGAAAAGAAGTTCAACATACGCAATTCATATTCTTGGTTCTTTCGGTAAGGTCACGTAGAAGGGAAACAAAATAATGAAAATAAAAAACAATTAAATTCTCACGACGTTTCGATTGCAACACAAGCAATCATCATCAGGTGTGAAATCAAAATTTAAATACACAATGAAGTTAAACAAGTGGGGCCACCGATATGCAAACCGTGCTCGACATCCGCCTTTTGCGGCACACGGCATTGTGGGTTCGGGAATTGGGAGCGGTGTCCCGCTACGCGCGCACCGGTGGGATGTGTTTAACACGATCGTCACTTTCATGATAATCGCCGTTTCATTTATCAACATTATGTGTTCCTGTTTTATATACCTCCTAAGGGACGCAGACCGGCCATATGGAACCACTTGTGATTATTACACGTGCTTGACGTTTAATTACGACAGCCGGTGTGCAAATGACATGCACACTGGGCCATAGCCTCAGCATTCCGACTCGCTTATCAACGTGAAGCATTGTCAATTAATGGGTTTAAACGTGTAATTTTATTTACCCAGGGACGTCTCGACACCAGGGTGTCAAGACTTTATTCGGAGGGCCCTGAGTTGAGATGTCTCGCTATTCCCACGTTGTTGAGTGTGTTTGCTTCGTGTGGGAGGAAACCGGAGGTTTTGGACAAATCCCACAAACGTACGATGGGACAAGACTAAAAGGTCAGCACAGATGGGTGCATTAACCTACTTGCTGTACCGCATCATGGCCATCCCTTTTGGAGGAATTTTCCTCCACTTAAATGCAACATGCAATACTCCTCTGTAATCCACTTCATGTATTACATTACAGGGACTCCTCTACTTGCGAATATTCGACTTACGAACTTTCAGAGATACTAACAAACCAGGTCCGTATTCCCAGTTGCCTGTTCGAACCGAGAGTCATAAGTTCAACCGCCGCGCAATAGATAGCGTTGGTGGCATCCACATATGCAGAACGTGAAGAACCAGTGGCATCTACATCCATGGAAGATTATATAACTTTTAAAGCCATTCCCTGTGTTTAGTGTACATGCCGTACAACGTGTTTGGAATCAACAGGAGTAAAGTTGGACTTACGAACAAATCGACTTACGAACAGACCTCTGGAACCTAACTCGTTCGTAAGTAGAGGAGTCCCTGTGTACGAATATAAAGAGATGCATACACATTGCCCTTATCAGAGTTGTGTTTTTTGTTTGCATTCTGACTGCAGGTATTGTGGTCAATGCAAACACGACTCCTTGTTAAAAAGATGTCAGTTTTGTTGCCAGATAAAAGGGTAAAAAAACAATTATCGACTTAGCATTTGCTTTAAAAGGTCTGTTTAGCATTGGTTGCTGCATCTCCCCCGAGTTGCTTTGCATGGAGTGCCCCTCATTCTCGCAAGGTCACGGTACACGTGGGCTGTTTAGAAGTGGCCGTGTTGTTGTTGTTATTTGGTCTTAAATCTTGTTTCGCGCTGGGATTACCAACGTGCGTGTCCCTGCGACGGTTGCCAACTCCACAAACGCGAGGAAGTCGCCAGAAACATCTCAGAGGCGACGAAACAAAGTCGCCAGAAACATGACGAAATGTTTCCAGATGGCATATCTCAAGAAACTGAAGGATTTTTGTTGCAAGTATTTTCTAAACCAAGGACAATTGCCTTCGCGTGGTATTCATGAGAACCTTGCAATAGCCCAAGTGCCGGATGTTATAAAGGGGCCCTCAATAAAATAAGTATATTAAAACACACATTTTTAACTTGTATAGTAGTGTAATTGTATTTTTTTTATTTGCTATACAGCCAGTTAATACGACAAATTGCTAACCTTAAACACCTAGTCGTTCATAAAAGTTGAAGGCGGTATAGTACTATAGCAATAGAGCAAGTGCAGAATCACTGAACCGGAATTGATAGCTTGAAATCATTTAGCGCGGGGCCCTTGAAATTGCGGGGCCCGTAGCTACCACATGTGTAGCTACTTGTGCTGCTAGGATAATATAATCCGGCACTGAATAGCCCAGGAGCGTAGGCCAGATGTAGCCATTTTCAGTACCGCCTGAGGGTAGTGTAG